GATCACAAAGAACAACACCAGATCGCTCAAGTGTGTCAACGTGTGGGATTCACACGGCAAGGTGGCGACTTTGGCAACGTGGACGAGTCTTCCCATGGGCTTGCATCAAGAAACATACAATGGATGCCGGAATAATAACTCCTCACTTGTTTACTGCGCGGGTAAGTTTCTTCTTTTTCTTTTGTGATTTCTACATGTTTGTGATTACTGAGTTTCAGGAAAGCTGGTGCTTGCAAACTTGATTCCAGACAGTGTCGATACACAAACCCAAGTTGGTTTTGTCTATCTGGATGAAGCATCCAGACAGTGGCAACCCTTGGCAACTATGCCTAGAGAGATTATGCCGGCAGAGCTTAAAAAGTTGGGCTGCGAGCAGGCAATATGCATGAGTGGAGTTTGATAGTGGCGGGAGGGGAGACCGAGATCACCTTGTTCATAACTCACTTAACTTTCGGTTGGGGTTGCATTTACAGTAAAGAAACCGGTATCTGGCGACCAGCTTGTGGCCTAAGGTCCGAAGGTGGTATGCTGTATCCTTTCAAGCCATCATTCCATCCAGTCTCCATTTAGTTAGAATCATCATACTCCCATTTAAAGGTGTCATGTAATTTAAGAATGAGTATGGGAGGTGAAGAAAATTTATAAAAACTTTTTTTCCAAACGAATATCCTAAATAAATATTTATTTTTTAATACAACAATTTTTTTTTCCAAGTTTTATTGTGAGAACATTCAACACAACAGCTCCCCAAATTCACGAAGGTAATTGCCCAGATATTTCATGTCATTAAACAAAACTCCACGACCTTGCAAAAGTTCTCTTACAACCATCTTGCGACGGGCAGCCTCCAATTCATCTTCAAACGGATCTGATCGTAAGGTTCTGGCTTGGCATAGAGCAAGTTCATTTCTTATCCCCAGGTTTGTTCTTACCACCTTTTCTTGAAGAATGGATTTAAATCCAGAGCGACACTCACACTGGGCTGAAATTTGGTATTGATTTCTGTTAGAAATATTATCTATCAAAACACACCCGATTATCAATCTCTACCAGGTAGGTACATGGCTTTTTATTTTTCTGGTACTGGTCACTTTTTCCTTCCATATCAGCCAGCTGGAGTTGTGGCTATAGAACGTATTGTGCTGAGAGAAATCTGCAGAATGCCAATGAAGTTATACAGCGTTTGCCATGGACAGTTCGATCGATAAGCTTGGGAAAGCTTGGGAAATACATTTTTCTATGGGGATGGAGTGGTTTTGCGCTGCTCTTTGTGTTTGCGTTGGAGAAAAAATTTTATGGGATGCCTCTGGTGGAACCAAAGAGGATCTCTGCCAAAGAAGGAGATTTCGGAAGAGTCATTAGTGAGAGACATTATCAAACTCAATATCAGCCCAGCAGCACCATTGCTGGCATTTGAGTGCTCCTAAACCAAAACCAGAGCCTGGTTTAGGCTCCACCACGGTAACCATCCCGACAAGACCACCTTCGGGCACGAATTTTATCGGAAGCACAGCTTGAGAAGCAAGGGTCTTGATTTATTCTGGCGTGCTGATCTTGGTAGCATTTGTTCGATTGGCCTTAAGAATTTGAGGTCCGAACAAATCAAGAGACCTCTGGAAGTTTGGCAGTGCTCATATTATTGTTTCATCGTGTGTGAGATGGCAAAGTATACAACACTCATATTCGTCGTGCTTTACTACATGCTTGGGTACTCTTGACAAACTGGATACTTTCTTCGGGTTACGTTCTTCACCACCTTTCCTATCTAAGACTAATAAGACTACAAGCTCTCTTTGATTAACATACCTGACAAACATCCTTTTACAGTTTGGACACGTCGGGTATCCAAAACGCTAAAACATATGAGGCAGTCGCAAACATGAGCCTTCGCGGAGCCCATTTCACCACGGCAGGAATTCCAGCGTTGTTCGTCCAGCACGCTACCTGGAATTCAATCAAAATAAGTCTTTTTTTTCCTCTTTTTTAGCACGAGAATTTCTCTCACCTCTGCACCGCTTAAGGAGCTCCATATTCTCAAACTTCCATCCCCGGAGCCTGAGATTCAATACTTATAGCTATCAGGAACTGATACAAACGAATGTTACCTGAGATAACATAGCGACCGTCTGGACTGAACGATGCTTCCAACGTTTCTCCGTCTCGACTGGGCTTGAGCGTGAATCCATGCATCTGGGAAGGAGCTCTCGGTATAGACTTAACGAGCGAGAGAGAAGTTTACCTTCTTTCCAGAGTAGGCATCAAGCAAATACACCCGGCTGTTTGTTGTGGAGAGAAGCATCATTTTACCATCGTTGCTAAACTTCATGCCAGCGACTTCCGCGGTATCACCACCCACGAGAAAAGTGTCAAAAGGTCCCTGAAGCATTCGTTCGGACTTTCATAAAATTATTGGAGAATCAATCACATCTTACCTTGTCGAAAGACCTTCCGTCAAACAGCTTGATTGCTCCGCCTTCCATGGCAACAGCAAATACCAGGCCTTGTTGATCATACGCCACAGACAGTCTTCCCCGGACTCTAAGAAGACCCTGAAATCATGGAAATGCTCTAGCCAAAGTTCTGGAAGAAAACGCAAGAAAAGAGTTTCGTTCTTTGGAGACATACATAGTGATACAACCCTGTGAGCAAAAGAAATAAAATAAGCATGGCCTTGGGTTGCTCCAAAGACTCACCTTTGCGTGTGTCCTCTGAAATATCGTAGAAATCTATTATCATACAACGATAGATACCGCAAGGACTCTGGAAACAAAGAAAGAACCTCAAAGACACGAAAAACCGTTCTCTCTTACCATCACTTCCATTGCTGGAGGAAAAAATCACAGCATTGGTATGATGCGTGAAACATATGTGATCCACGCCATATCTTGCACTGTAGAGAGTCTTCATGGGCCTGGATGGAGCAAAGAAAAGGAAACTTGAAACCTCCCAAGAACTCGGGGGAAAAAATCACCTACGTCGCAGTGGCAGTATCGTAGAGCCGAATGGACGCGTCCTCCGCGGCAGTCACCACGAGATCCTCCGTGCGATGAAAATCCAAGGAGCTGATCTTCCCCCACTGTGGGACAAGATTGCTCCTGTAAGTTGATGAAAGACTTTCCATGTTTTGTTCACTCGAACGATGTAAACCGTGTGACTTGCAGGAACTTCGCACTGACGAGCAGGGCATTGCAAATTACCAAGGTCTTCCCTTCCAAACCTCTAAAGGACCATGCAAATCAGCAATCGTCAATGGATCAATCAAATGAGAGCGCAAAGGTGATCCATATTTCGTGAGGAAAAAATATTCTATATACTTTATAATAGATCAAACTTTTCAACTATAGATTGGTTTATCTGGGACCAGACGGCTGGTGTGCTACCATGGCCACACTGACGCTACCACCAAGATGGTTAGTCGAAGAGAACCGAAGAACTCCCGCAGAACTCAACGCAAACCGGAAGAAGAGAGGCGGCTCCAAAATCTCCTTTCGACCTTCGAGCATCTGGACGACTGTATCCATCGGGGGTCTTTGGCTGGGATTATCCTGGATGCACCACAGAGCTACCTGGAGCATACTTTTCACCTCGTCCTCGTCCACACTATCTCGGATCCTTGTATCCACGACTTTGAGAAACTCTCTCTTGGAGACTCGAGCTACGACCCAGGCCGGGAAGTACCACCACAAAGCTTGTTCCCCCTCGTCCATTGGAGCTTCACGACAGTCTTCTCCACCATGGCCGCCAAGCTTGGACAAGTTCCTTCGTCCACCTATGAGCTCCAGCAGCACCATACCATAGCTGTAGACGTCGCATTTCTTCGTGGCTACCGAATGTAAGAGCCACTCCGGGGCGAGATATCCTGGAGTACCTCGAACATCAGTCACGGTCTGGCTTACATCCCGAGTCTTGAGCAGCTTCGCCATGCCGAAATCGGAGAGCTTGGGACGAAACTTATCGTCTAGAAGGACGTTCTCGGGCTTGATGTCGAGATGGATAATCAGCTGCCGCGATTCCTCGTGCAAGTAAGCCAGGCCTTGAGCTACTCCCAAGGCAATATCGCGGCGGCTCTGCCAGTCCAAGCATCGATCTTCGAACAGCCACTTATCCAAGGATCCATTCACCACGTACTCGTAGACGAGCATGAGCTGGTTCTTCTCGGAGCAAAAGCCATAGAGCTGGACAACGTTGTGGTGGCTTATCCGTCCCAGCGAGGCCATCTCCGCCAGAAATCCCCTGTCACTCTGGTTCCGGTTCTCCAGGCGCTTGACCGCCACCTTTCTCCCGTCCGCCAGAGTCCCTTCATAGACGGTTCCAAAGCCGCCTTTACCAAGGCTCGAAGCGAAGTTCCCAGTCGCCACCTCCAGCTCCTTGTATGTATACTTCTGAGCCGAGCCTTGCAGTGCCAGAGCCAAAGCACGCTCAACTTTGTCAAGCCTGTGCTTCCAGATCATCAGCACGACCAAGCCGAGAGCTGATAGCAGGACCACGCTCGCAGCAATGCTGACTCCAAGCAAAACGGTGCGATCCTTGGGCTTCTTCCGCACGAAAAGCTCTGCGTTTTGCAGCTTGAGGAAGCCATCGAAGTTGGGATCCCTGGTGAGGCCTCCATACATCCGGTCGACGAAGAAACAGGTGCTCGACTGCTTGTTGTAGAAGAGTGCGGTGCAGGAGCAATTCGCTAGGCACAAGCTCCAGCACTCGCTCAAGGTGGAAACTCTGTCGGCCTTGGTGTAATTGTTGGAGAAGTAGCCGGCTCCACTCACGTTGAGAAAGTGGTGGTTCTCGGCCTCGACTTCGTGGTTGCAAACGAGAGGTATGCTGCTCGGACTTGGGCAAGTTTGCTCCTGATGGCCACTCTGGTCTTGGACTATACAGCTGCACTGAGCGTTCCCAGAGCAAACGCTGTTCGATTCGCATGCCATCGGGAGGCAACCTCCAAGTCTGTTCCTCATGAACGGCGGACCCTGTTCCCACGAAGCTCGTCCGGAGTTGTAGGTGTAAGGAACCAGCTTCCCATCGATTTCAAGTTTGAGATACTGCCGGTCATCGCTGCTGTTCCCGAGTACTGCTGTGAGAGGAGCGCTGCAGAGCTGGGAAGGGTTGCTCGTCGATGGCTGGTACGATAGTATCAGTTGGCCAGCGGAATACTCGAGCTCTGTGTGATAAGTCGGGCATGGTGCGTTGATGGAAGTCTCGTCCATTGGCAAGTTTCCATTGTATAAGTTCCAAACCAAGTAAGGCTGTCTTGTGTCCCGGTTGAGGAAAAAGATGAGACCGCTCGGCTCAACTTCCATCTTGATGTTCCCGCTAGCAAGACTTGATGAATTGGCGCTGCTGATAAGTCTCTGCTTAGTTACCATGACTTGTCCTTCTAAAAGGATATCTGTAGGATGGTCGAAGCTCTGCCAGGAGATCCCACCCGTGGAGTTGTAGAGGACAAAGTTCCCAGTGTCTCGAAGCTCCATCTCAGAAACTCCACCAGGAGAACTCCATACAACCTTCCCATCCCAATCGGCAACTTCCAGAGCTCCCTGACCGGTCACACGAACGGTAGCATTTTCTGTCACAGGACAGTCCCGGTTTGCAGCCCAGACGCAGACGCCAGAGTTCGTGTTGTTGCTGGAGCCAAGAACCAAAGCAAAGTAGAACTCGGCCGAGTTGTGGAATCGAAAGAAAGACAAGCCAAATCTTCCGCTCTGGCTCATGAGAGGACTGTCACCTGCTCGGAGCAGCCGATAACTGGCATTGGCCTGTGATCCTTGCAATTCCAGAAGCTGATTGTTGTTCGTTACTTCCCAGCCGTGTGATAGACTGTAGTTCCTGCCGTGCACACGAAAGAGAATTGTCATCAGCTGAAAGAAAGCGACCAAAAAAATCTTCATAGCCATGAACCATGAAGCAGAATGCGCTAGCTATTTTTGTATCTATAGAACGGGAGCGGTCCATTCACTTGACTCATTCATATTCATACTTCTTCCACTTATTCCAGTCTCGAGTACCAACTGTTACCGAAAGTTTGATTAGTCTTTGCTTGAAAAGAAGTCTAGTCTTCAAGACTTTTCCAAGTCTTGAAAGTAAGGACTTACGTCTCGTATAAGCAGGTGTTCTCAATGCAGAACGGCAGCAATGCAAAAGCAAAAGGTTTCACAGGTTGCTAAGGCGTTGTTCCTGGAACTAATAATGCTCCTCACAGTTACTTCTGAAGGGAAGTTGTACACGATACCTGATAAATGGCGCATTTTCATGAACAACAGTCTCCCAGAATTCCAAGGCGGTGGCAGATCCGGGAGTTATCGCCTGGTGAGTGCTCTTCCAAAGGATAACCCTTCTAGCCGGCCAGAATCTCTACGCAGCGACGATGAAAACTTGGGCTTAGCATTCCTCAACTTCAATGGATCAAACAAGTATTACCTGGCACTGATGTTTGGCACTCGCAACTCTTCCACAGCAGCTCCCGTCTGGATAGCCAACCGGAACGCTCCAGTGTCAGGAAATTCAATGCTCGCTAAAACAGGTGGTCGCTTACAGCTCCTGGATGCAAATGGTTCCGTGGCATGGTCTCCAAACGAAAGCGTTGCCTATATCGGCATTCAGAATTCCGGGAACTTGCAGCTCTTCGATGAATCTGAGACCCCGGTATGGAGTTCCTTTGATCGCCCATGGAGCGCACTGATGCCAAACCAGAAGCTAGTAACTGGACAGTCAGTTGTGAGTAACAAAAACGCCTCAGACCCCAGCGAAGGCTCGTATATCGCAGAGATACAGGCCAGTGGATCAGTCGGATACATGAGCATCGGTTCCAAGAAAAAGCAGCCTTACATGTTGTGGAGCTTCGTCGGATCACAAATTGGCTCGCCCAGTGTAACCTGCCCAGGATTTCGAACTGCTCTTTCATTCACGCCAGCAGGAGAAATGAGCATGGTATACGAACCTATTCGTGTTGGTGGTAACGAACAGCCGTGTGGCTCTCCACTGTCCGGGGAAATATTCCCAGGGAACACCACAATGAGGTATTTCCAGCTTGCCGATGATGGGACCATGGTTTCATACAGGCGAGAGTTGGCAAATGGAAGCTGGGAGCTCGATAGCACGAGTCAGTTCTTTCCACCGCCAGCGCCATGCGGGAGCTATGGGCTGCTCGAGAAAGGAAAGCAGTGTCAGTGCCTGACCAACGAAGCAAACAACTCTACTACCTCAGCACTTGGAAGTTGTGCCCAGCCAGAATGGTCTTCTCTTGCAAACTGCAGCTCCAGGTACGAGACCGACTTTGTAACACTCGCAGGTGCATCGTACTTCGCCAACACTTTCAACCCTCCCGATAGAACAGGCGCTGCAATGCAAGATTGCCTCGAGCAATGCAAATCCACTTGCTCCTGTGCGGCGTTCTTTTTCGACCAGGCGCTCCAGAATTGCTTTTTCATAGAAGACGTCCTGGGAAGCTTGACGGTAGACTCGAACAAGACTCAGCAACTGTTCGGCTTTCTGAAGTACCAGAATTACTCCAGGTTAGTGCCTGTTGACAACTCATCGTCAGACACTCCAAAGCTCCTAGTGATCGGAATTACCTCTGCAGGAGCTGCTGTAGCCATTGTAACTTTTGCGTTGCTTTTCACGATCCTGCATCGAAGGAGGGTCATGCTCGACGAACTAAACAGTTTCCTTACCGGTGTACAAGCTTCGCCTTACAGGTTCTCGTTCAGCAGCCTATACTCTGCAACAAAAGGATTCACAAAGGTTTTAGGAAGCGGAGGTTGCGGCACAGTGTACGAAGGAATGCTTCACAACGGGATGAAGCTGGCAGTGAAGAAACTCAGCACACAGCATGGACAAAAGGAGTTTGTAACAGAAGTCTCGGCTCTGGGAAACATAAGCCACATCAACATTGTCAAACTCTATGGCTTCTGTGCCGATGCTTCACACAGGCTGCTCGTCTACGAGCTCATGCCCAATGGTTCCTTGGACAGATGGATTTTCTCCGACAACAAGGACAAACTGGACTGGAAACTTCGACACAG